TTATGAGTGCAAGCGAATGACGGACGCCGGGTTTTTTATGTTTAGGGTTTTTTGTCAAAGTAAGGGAGGAAGCATATGGCGGCGCACAGAGGTAACCGTGTAGCAGAAGCGCATGGGAAGACTACAAAGGCTTATCAAAAGGCATCACAAACGCCTTGATTTCTACTTGGTGGTGGCATCTTCTACTAAGTCAACTCGCATTCAAAGTTCAGATGTGTGCATGCAAGAATACAACCAAATACCTTGTTGTCAATAAAAGCTACTGCATTCACCAATGGAGTACAACAATGCACTTGTCATTTCATTTTGGGCGCCCATTATTAATCAAGCATCACCATGGGCTCTAACTTGACACAGCTAAGTACCCTGCTTGTCTTTAAGTTTTAAATTTATGTCTATGATATTTCTCTTATTTCGATCTATTATTCGTGCCAATTATTTGAAATATTCTCCGCACCCGAACTACGACAGGCCATCGAAAACACTCTTTGCGCCAAACTATAGCGCCCTTGGTTGAAACTAATCTCCGTGTCCAAATCTAACGCCTGTGGTCAAAATTCTCTATGCACCCAATTATAGCGCCCTTGGTTGGAACTACTCTCAGCGTCCAAATATAACGCCCGTGATCAAAAATTCTCTACGCGCCCAACTATAGCGCCCTTGGTTGGAAATACTCTCCGCGTCCAAATATAACGCCCGTGGTAAAAAATTCTCTATGCGCCCAACTATAGCGCCCTTGGTTGAAACTACTCTCCGTGTCCAAATCTAACGCCTGTGGTCAAAATTCTCTATGCGCCCAATTATAGCGCCCTTGGTTGGAACTACTCTCAGCGTCCAAATATAACGCCCGTGATAAAAAATTCTCTACGCGCCCAACTATAGCGCCCTTGGTTGAAATTACTCTCCGCGTCCAAATATAACGCTCGTGGTCAAAAATTCTCTAAGCGCCCAACTATAGCGCCCTTGGTTGGAAATACTCTCCGCGTCAAAATATAATGCTCGTGGTATAAAAAAAAAAGCCATCTTTAGAGAAGTCTGAATGCCCATGTGTATAAGTCCATGTCCAACATCCTTTTTTGCTTGAAATCCATCTAGTTCAACATTATATCCCACCAAAGCCAAGCCCACTATTTCATAACCTGTAGAAAAAGGGAGTGCATGCGGTGTGGTTTCAAACACGGAAGGGAAAAAGAGACGTCAAATATGTGGATGGAGGAATTTGTACACTGCATCTCGCACTCTCAAAATAGCCCAACAATACAAGGCAAAGGCGCAACGCAAAAGAAAGGTGATGCAAGTCTGGCTGTGCCTCGTCACAAGAAGTCAGCAAAGTATACCACTAGACTACAATGCAAAGCTTGAAACTTCCTAGCAGGCGCCTTCATTGACAACAAGCTTCGACATGGGCTAAGACCTAAGCTAAGTACTCCACTTATTTGTTAAATTTTGCTTCATTTTTAAGATATATTGTCCTTGTTTATGAGGCACGTTTGAGAGAGATAACTTACATTAAAAAAAAAGATTGTCTACTTCCATAAAATCTCTAATTGGTGCTTGAAGTTCATAGTGTGAGTCACATTATATTGCATCATCTATTGTGTTTATTATTTTATTTTGTAAATCTAGTATAATGTTGGGAAACGACCAAACTAACTAGGGAACACGTGGAGTGGAAATGTCAAGCACCCGAAACTGAGTTTGCAGGAAAATTTGCAAGATGTAGACTTGTTAGGCATCTGGTACCTTACTTGATACCTAACTGGGGGACAAAACACCAAAGAATCTTATGTGAAACTTGACAAGTGGAGGGATTTTAGTTAGTCGTCCAGTGCACCACTGGGCGCCTAACTGGGGGACAATTGGGGATAACATGGGCATGCATGTTCTAAGATTTTTCTATGGCTAAAAATATTCAATTATGCACAGAAAATTACATAACCTTGTTAGGCTTGAGAAGTGCAATAAGTAATTTCGTCACTAACCATGCTATGAGTCATATTATGTTATATTGCTCAGTCTTTGCATAGTCTTTGTTGCAGCTATTCAATCAACACGATGTTGGGGGACATGAGTCAACCAGCAGGGTATAAAGAGGCGTATGAACATCATACACCAAATGCAGAGACTACGAAAGTTTGACAACATGAAGACTTATAGTTAGGCATCCAGTGTGCCACTGAATACCTAAGTGGGGGACAATTGTTGAGGGTGTAAATATGGTATAACCTAGCCCACATAGTAAAGACGGTCCGCTGATCACATACGGACCAAAGCACAGGAAACACCACAAAGGCCCAACTGAAGCCCAACAAAGTGTCACAAGGCTTTACCTATAAATATATTCTTAGGTCTTCCAAGTAGGGGGTCTCTTCTTCTCTACTCATTTTGACATATCATTTATCTCTCTACAATATCTCTCTCTACCTAAACTCTCCTTAAGCTCTCCTTATTTGCGATCACTATACAAATGTTGATCGTTGGAGTGTAGATATCGGGGGCCCTCCCCGTCTTTTCACAGATCCGACGTCCTCTTGTTTCGTGGCTGAAACAGGTTGCATCTCTCTTTATAGAATGCTGGAATTGCTCATGGAACGATGATGACTAGCAAGCCATAATTGTTCCCGCAACGAAGATGACTACCAAGACGTTGAGCCGTAGTAGGAGTGGGTTGATGTCCATGGAGGAGTAGTATTATGAAAATGCAGGGGTATCGAAAGGAAGGTGGAGGCAGAGTGAGTTTGGAAAATGGAGATGGAATGCATGTCAAATGAGGGTATATTTTTTGAAAGGAAGGGGTTGGAAAAGCAATCATTATGAGGGAACTTTCAGAGTTAGTGAAAGCGGGGATGATAATAATGTGTAGTCATGATATTGCAAATGCAACTATTAATTATAATAAAAGGTGAATATAGGAGCAGCGAAGTGGAATAATAAGGACGGAATGTGTAGCTATTGTAATGCGTAATCATCAATATGATCACAGATAGATAGAAAGATCTCACAAGACGGATAAAGGTAGAAAAGATGGATACCAAGCATGCCAGTGCCACTACCATGTGTCAAACTCACTCACTAACAATAAACTTTCTGTTCTGAAAAATTGTACTCAGGGAAGGAGAAGACTTGGAGAATGCTCCAGCAGCTTAGCAGCAAAAGAAGAAAAATAAGGATTGACTTACTTACAGTGAGGTGGAGAATGAATTGTGGAAGGAGGGAGGGAGAGGTGAAGTAGAAGACTTGCTAGAGGAGGAGAAAGAGCCGCCAACAGCCCCCAACATTTTCTTGGCTACTCGCTTGACCTTCGAAGTTCTGGTACATCCTCTCATCACTAATTCTGCTGTTGTTTCTGTTTTTTAAGAACGAATGAAATGGAATGCAGCAGAAGAAGAAGGAAAGATGAGTTGTTCTGGCGGTATGGGTTATTGGAACTGAAAGTTGGGATGGGGTATTTCATGTGGGTATATATTATATCTATTATAGAATGTCTGCAAGTTCAGAAAGATACAGTGCGAGGTGATGACGACCTAAATTTTATAAAAAGGCCCACAGTTTCTCCATTAGCCAGTCTGTCTTTCATGTGGAATATTTGGTTGATCATTCTGTGTGTTGCTTTTTCCAATTGCAAGGTATTTCTTCGGTGTAATTTTGGTGAAGAATTTTAAAAGTTCATGAAGAGTTTACAAAGAGCTTGAGTTGACTCTTTAGTCTTATGCTCGGTAGATTATCATTATGTTTGTAAGTTGCCTTGCATAACAAGATATCTAAGTTTTTAAACAAAAATATGGCACTTGCTTTCTCTATATTATTTTTAATTGTTTTCATTAACACTATATTGTTTTAAATATACTAAACACAACTAAATCTCCTGTGGAGTAGCCACGGGTATTGATACTAGTACAAATAACAGAGGCTTTTAGTCGTTTGCCATATAAACCAAACTTTTTGGCTAAGGTAAATATATCAATGTGGTTTGCGTAGAATACTTGTTACTTAGCATGGTTGTGTTCAACTGCTTACTCCATAAACCTTATACACTAAGTAGTTGGGGGCATTTGTTTACACCTAAAAAGTACTCTTGTATTACATTGATTATTTACAAGGCATTAATTGTCTTTATAAGGCCTGGTCAAGCCTGATTTGGTCCGGTGCTGCCTGAACCCATAATAAATCTCTTAAGAAAATGTGCGGAACAAGATCATGAGGCAGCAGCAAGCACAAACCTTTTTCAATTCCAGCTATACTGATTGGTTGGTTTCGAACTTATCAGACGACTTTGAAGGAGCGTGACCAGGGCAGTGGGCTAGCTATTTTAGTCTTGTGATGTGGTACATTTGGAAATGCAGAAATGATAGGATCTTCAAGGGGGGTTAAATTATCAGCATCAACCTTGCATCACTACATCACTGCAAAGGCGAAGACATGGGCAAAAGCTTGGCTTTCAGCGAAAGAAAATGAGATGCTAGCTGATAGGGGGCATCTGGTGGAAGTGCTAGTAGGGTGGACAACCCCTCCTGTGGGATGGCATAAAATTAACACTGATGGAGCGGCTCAACACAACCCGGGAATGGCAACTACAGGGTGTGTGCTCAGGAATTGCTATGGCTAGGTGGTTTCTGCAGCAAACTGGGGACGGGTACAACACTTATGGCAGAACTTTGGGGGATTCTTCAGGGGCTTGAGTTCGCTTGGAAGAAAGGAACGCAGTTCCTAATTCTGGAAACAGACTCCGAATTAGCACTGCAGTTGATTGAGAAAAGAAGGGACAACGCTCACCTGTACTCCACGATCTTTGGTACTATTCGGAGATTGTTAGCTAATGTTTGGGTGGTTCGTCTAGTTCATACATATCGCGAAAGGAATATAGTCGCAGACTGACTCTCGAAGCACAATCTCGTTTATACGTATGAGGTAGAAGATCCTTCATTGGAGCTATCTTGGAGCTGGATAGGATCTATCAAGAGGACGTTCGACGTGTCAGTTTTTATAGACAAGTGCGACAGCCAGCAATGAGTTGGTGTTAGTCTGTGATTCTGCAGGTGATCTTTTTATGGTTGGTTTCTTGTTTTAACAGGGCCTTTGCTCTGGTGTTCCTGGCCTTTGGCCTCCCTTGTATAAAAAAAAAAAACTCTTAAGAAAATGTAAAGCTCTTGCCAACAACACCAACTCACAGCCATACGCATTCCGAAATCAAGGTTGTTGTGCTTAGGATTTACATTACACGCAAGCGGCTACAATACAAATATGCCTCGTGTCTTAGGCGACGCTGAAGGAAGTTGCAGCGTTCTCGACAAACTTTCTAGCACCCTTGAACCACCTCTTGTCTCCAGCCTGCGCCTTGCAAATGTAGAGCTTCCCATCTGTCACAGCGGCGCTGATCAGCTGGTGCTTCCCGCCTTCATCTCCGTCGGCAGTCCTCGTCAACACCGACACAATGTAGTACTGTTTCCCTCCCACCACTGGAGTTGATGTCTCCAGGATGTTGGCCGTCGCAACCTCACCAGACTGGAACCCACCCTGCACCACCATCACAACCACACACACAGATACGTTCCCAAATCAGCTCGACATGGCCTCTTCGTGTTTCGATTGAGTCCGAATCATGATTAATGACTTCAAAGACAGACATTCCCAAAATGGGATTAACTGAGAAAGATGAGGGATACCTCGGAATCGGTCTTGCCAAAGTAAGCCTGCTTCCCGAGCAGAAAGTTGACCTACATTTGCAGATAAAAATTCGAAATTCGTTCATCAACTACATAGACACATGAAAGATTTCACTTGGGTCGAGATCAGAGATTGTTTTTTAAGTTAACCTGGGAGAGGAATTCTTCAGGGGCACCGTAGTCGGTGATGGATTTCTTGTCAGTTGGGGTGACCATGACACTGACGTAGCTGTTGGCATCAAAGTTGTCTTCGTATCTCAGCACCTGCCCTGGATACTCCACCTCTTTGCTAGGGTTCCACTTCGCCGGGATGGAAAGCTTGAACCCTTCCCCATTGTAGGGTAAGAAATCCGTGTTCGTCTTTGGCTTCCCAAAGATGTTAGCTAGAAAAGGGGAAACGAAACAGACATCAAGTTGTGACAAACCGTACACAAGATTGTTAACTTCAAAGGGTTTGGTTGGATCAATTACCGGATTCACCGTAGGCGGCGTCGGCGGGGGCGGTTTTGGAGCCGATGGCAGCGGCTCCGGCCAGGAGGGTGAGGGCCAACCTACGGGACAAGGCGCCGTCGTTGGTGGTGTCCTGATCATCCAGCTGCTGCTGCTGCTGTTTCTGGGCACGGCAGACGAGCCTGGCGGCGGCGGGAGAGGGAAGTCGCTGGGCGGCGGAGGAAGCGGCCGCTGACCTGGTGGAAGTTGTGAGTGCGGCGTGGTGCAGGAAGCATGCTGTGGAAGCCATTTGAAACTGTTGCTCTGTTTTTGGCCCTCTCTCCCTTTTTTCTTATTTGTCTTCTGGAACTTCCAGGTAGTGGCGCCTGTGACTATGAGTAAGGTTGTGTGGAAACTGGAGAATGAAGGGTGGGGAATTAGTGACTGCCAATTGGCTGGTTTTGGATATTGGGATGACGAGGAGGATTAGATTTTGTGGTGATTGGGATAAGGCTGATGAGGCTCTCACTGGCGACACCTGGCATTTGGAATGGAAGGGCCCAAGCCAATGGTTTCGTTTCGATCCCTCCTTCGTGCCAAAGCCAATTCTGGAGGAGGGGAAGGTAGGGTTCTCGACGTTTCAAAGTTTCTCTGGTTCAACAACCTCGCTAATTAGTTCAAAGTCACAAGATCAAGTTTGTTATAGGCCAATTTGGAGAAAGAAAAATAATGTATAATATCAAACAAGTATGTATAATTATTAGATTTGATTATTTCGATTGTATTTTCACTTTTTTTTCATCTCATATATTATATATTAATGATAGAGTAGGACCATACCAAAGCGAGTCTATCGTAGTCTAGTCGTTGGTCACATAAATTTTATAAATATTGAAGAAAAATGAAAGCAAAATACATCTGTATAGTCATAATTAGGGATGTACATGGATCAGGTAGTCCGGGTTTAGCCATTTTAATCACCCAACCTATGCACTACGGTTTGGGAAATACTAAACTCAAACCCACCAAAAAAAAATTTAAATCCTACCGTTTGTTTCTAATTGGGTTGGGTCAGGTTGGCGATATTTAAGTAAAAATCTAACTCAACACAAAATGTGTAATTATTCTACACCACAATTTATTTTTATAACTATATAAAATTTCAAAGGAATAAACCAAGGTGAAAGGTATCAAAATTCACAAATGTTGTTTAAATTTTAATAAAATGTGATTTATTCAACATATGTCTAGTTTTTTTCACCACATTTGTTGAAATAGGCTAAAAATATTATAAACGAACGCATCTGTTTGAACCTAACTGAGTGTAGGAGTGAGGTTCGAAGGAGAGTTTGGGTCGAGAAGAAACGCGAGAGCCGAGCTAGATCAGTGGAACCAGAATCAGAGAGTTGAGTGAGAAAGAGATTAGAAAGAGAAGTAGTTCTTGTAGAGAGAGAATGGTGAAAAAATGCGATCCCCCCACCCACCGTAGTAAATGCCATATTTATAGGCTTCATGGTGGTGGGTGAGTGGTTGACATAGGGAGAGATACAGTGATGTGACTACTGGGATACAATGATGTGACCACTAGCACACTAAGGCTTTTAGGCCATCCCTCTACCTAGGATGAGTCAGAGATCCACTCATGGCCCTGATGTGACTACCCGCTTGGAAGAGGTGCGCTTCCCTCATCTTCTGGTTCAGCCTACGCTAGTCCTCCCCTAGCGCCTGTCATCTCTTCGCGCCTGGACGTGGTTAGCCATGATGAGGCGGCACACTCGGGGTCCTCGCGCTGCCGTGTTGGGGTCTCGTCCAGTTGCGCCCGGTTCCTTGGCGTGGCTAGGCCCGAGTCCTATGCCCAACAATTGCCCCCCAGCAGGGGGTGTTTTGTGAACGCCCCCTGTTTAGGTTTCCTCCGGACTCGGGCCGGTCCGCTTGTAGCTATTGGTTGGCGCCGACGTGCGCGATACTATGAACTGGTGTCGCCTTGCCCTGACGCCATGTGCCATCGCGCTCGTTGTTGGGCTTCATTCGGTCGCCACGCGCAATGCTTGGCGCGCGCTGTTGTGCGTACGGGGTCGTTTTCTTCGTGTGCGGTACGCGCTAATGCGCTCGTTGTTGGTCTTTGTTCGCTGAGCGCGATACTCGCGCGCGATGCGCTCGTGGAGTTGTTTTCTTTTCGCAGCACGACGCATGTTTTCCTCTTCCAGGCGTTATCCTCGCGATAAGCGCTCGCGGTTGATCTTTGTTCGTTGAGCGTGATACTCGCGCGCGATGCCCGTCGATGCGCGCATGGGGTTGTCTTCTTGTTGCGACGCAATGTGTGTCTTTCTTTTCCTCGCGGGTGTGCCATGCCCCCCAGTCGGTGCGCGGCGCTGGTGGCGTCGCCGACTAATGCCTATGATCGTAGGTGTCAACGTGTCACTGTGTGGTTAGGCTATTTGGGCGGGGGTTTTTTGAATTTCGAAAAGATTTGGTGGGATCTGACTGTTACGGATCCCAATGTGGCTTTAACCTTTCGCATTCCGCCGAACGGCCTTGTCCCTTCGCTTTCCCCCGGATCAATTATAAATATGAGATTGTTGAAGGGAGGAGGGCTCACTTGTTTTCTCCGATCATAGCCTCGCTTTTGTTTTCCTAAGATTTCCCTCCTCCTTCACTTCTCTTTCCTCGAGATTTTCTCTCCTCCTTTTACTACCCCAATCCTCTTCTGCTGTTGATCAACTTCGAGTCGATATCATGTCCAACATCAACAACCAGGAGGCCGAGGTCGTACAAGGCGAAGAAGGTAATGTCTCTCCTCTCTCGCATGCTTCTTCTGACCATTCCGGTGGTGGGAATGGAGGTTCTGGGGATTGGAACGGTGGATCCGACGGTGGGGGTGGCAGTAGTGGTGGTGGACTTCCGGCGACGCCGACGTTCGATGCTAGGTCGGGCGATGGGGCCGGAAGCTCTTCTGATCATGGTATGACCGTTTCCGGTTGTGGGGAGGTGGCGCGGCCGGCTCGGGGGACTCTGATTATTCGGCGTAACCAGGGTGGTGGGCCGGTTGCCGGCGACGAAGCGGCCGACGAGGAAATCGCCGACGAGGAAGTCGCCGACGAGGAAGTCGCCGATGGTGAGGTCGGCGACGATGAAGTCGCCGACGATGAAGACTTCGGCGATGAGACAGAGCAAGGAGACTTTGATGTGCAATTCGCGCCGCGAGCAGTCGAGCGCGTTACCGAAGCCATGGCCCGCTTGGGGCCGCAGGGTGTTGGCTCTACATACCGCGTGATCGAATGGGCGGAGATGTGGGGTGACCAGCCGGCGCCGTCTGACAATCTCAAGCGCGGACCCGAGCACTCCTCGACGTATGACGTGGATGACGTGGAGGAGTTGGTTCGCGGACTGGGTTTGCCCCCCAGTTGGGAGTACGCCGCTCCCTCGGTGCGCAGTATGGTGGGTAACTGCCCCCCTGGGTGGTTCGGTGTGTATGCCGAATACTGGGTTATGGGGTTCAAGTTCCCCATCGACCCGCTGTTATGCGCCATATACGACCGCCTCAAATGCTCCATCGGTCGGCTCTCACCGTCAGTGATCATGCACGCGAGTTGCCTTCGTCTCGCGTGCAAGAGGCTTAACATCGTGCCTACTTACGGCTTATTCCGCAAGATGTACAAAATCAAGGAGCCGACAAAGGTGAGCGACTGTCTCTCCATCCAGCGACGCGACCACCGCCCCGATGGCTTCGTGTACGGCTCGCCCAAGTTGAAGAAGACTTGGTTTGGTCAGTTTTTCTATGTTAAGCCCGCTCCCGGGGAATGGGCGAGTGGGTCGCTGCCGGAGCCCACCACCTGGATGAAGGGCAGTATAGCCGGTTTCGAGTCCGACGTCGGTAAATACGACGGGCTCAACGATGAGTATGAGGCTTGCATGCCTCACCGCATGAATTTATACAAGCGGGGAGTCCGCGAAGCCTGTTTGGAAGAGCTCTTTGGAGATGGTTAGTTATGTTTCCTTCCTTTTTGTATCCTATCTTATTAACCGCTCTCTTACGATTTATTGGCGCAGGTGTTGACTTCTCTTCCCTCGCGAGTATGATGTCGGTGGATGACGTCGCGCCGCGTGCCGACAAGAAAAGGAAGAAGAAGGTCGGCGCGGCGCCAAAACCCTCGAAGCGGAAGGAGGTCGAGCAACCGCAACCGCAGGTTGTAGAGAGGCCCCGCAAGACCCTTCGCATAGCGGAGCCAACCGTCCAAGCGGCGAAGCAACTGCCCGCGACGCCACAATTGTCCGCCGCGCAGCAGCTCTCACTGGCGCTTTCGGAGCCCGAGGCGACGGTGAGCCGGCCCGCTCGTCGAGGGGGGGATGGGGCTGGCAGCTCATCCGGGACATCCGCTACCACTCCTCCCGTCAGCGCGGCACCTCCTTCCGCCGCCGTCCACCAAGTCCGCGACGTGCGGATTCACACCGCCGCGGCGTGCAACTTGGTGTCAGCCAATCATGCGCTTCGGGCGATCGGGCCCATTCTCTCCGTTCCTCCGCGGGTGGAGAAGACGGACCCTCTTCACGACCTGGCGCAGATCCATTTCGCGGTAAGACTCGGTTTAGGTTAAGGTTTATTTTCTTAGCCTCCCCCCTTCTTTTTTGCTTGGCTAAGACTCGTGGCGTTGCAGGGTTTGTCGGCGACCTTTCGCGCTCAGCAAGAGCGCGCCTCGATGCGCGCCAAGATGAAGGCCGACGAGGCGCAAATCGTGCAGCTGGAGGGGAAGGTCCTCGGGGCGAACAATCGCGCGGAGGACGCTACCTCTAAGGCCAACGAGGCACTGGAGTCACTCGGCCTTTTGCAGAGCCGATTGGCCGCGGACGTGGAGGCGGCCAAAGAGCAGGTGCGGAACGAGGAGCGCACTGCTCTCCGAGAAGAACTGGAAGTCTCCTTTTCTGAGAGATTGCGCAAAGCTCGCGAGGAGTTCCAGAAGGAGAAGGACGACCTTGTTCGCCTTCACACCGTTGCTAAGGCGGAGGCCGTTCGCGCAGCTGAAGTCGCGGCCGTCCGCCAGTTCAAGTCTTCCCAACCTTTCGGGAAGATGATGGCGGATGCCATGACCAAGGCCGTGATAGCGGTTGGTAAGAAGGTCCGCCCTGAGAATCCGGGGATGCGCTGGGACACTCGCGAGATGGTTCAGCACGTCAAAGTGTGGATCAGCGAGAAGCGTCCTTTGGATTCTGACTCCGAGTCCGAGGAAGAGGAGGAGGAAGAAGCGGAGCGCCGGGAGGAGGTTGAGCGTCCGACAGGGGAGGAGAGGAAGGATGGAGAGGTGGCCGACGAAGATGAGGAGGACGAGGAAGAGGAGCGTCCTCTATTGCGCCGCAAGTTGAGCAGGGAGGGCGAACAGCCCGATACTGGTTCTGCTTAGATGTGGCCCAATTGAGCCTTAGCTGTTTTGTTGTTTTCTTGTACTCTTCTTTTTTTTTTGTTTTCTTGTGTGTAGCCGGGCACGGCATCATGGCTCCCTCCTTGATTAGAACAAAAGATTTTCGACTATGTTTGTGTGCGCGAATGAGTAATAACTTTGTGTGCGCGAATGAGCGACAACCACTGCTTTTGCCTTGTCCCCTCGCGCGGAGGATATGCGAGCTGGGTGCTCATTTTTGTTCCTTGTGTGCGCGAATGAGCAATAACTTTGTGTGCGCGAATGAGCGACAACCACTGCTTTTGCCTTGTTCCCTCGCGCGGAGGGTGTGCGAGCTGGGTGCTCATCTTTGTTC